AAAGTGCCACAGGTTGGACTCAAACCCACGCCCACTGCAGCAAGGACTGAGACTTTGTACGTGGGGCTTCAGCTCTACCAGGTACAACTCATTTTTTACTGGATGTTTTGGTGCCCCCTGGTGGTTAGAGGTCAGTTAAACAGCGCAGTATTGGCGGTGCATGTGACAGTACTGCTGCGTCTGCAGAGTTCATACCACCTGTTAGTGGTAAAGATTATATCCTCTGATATGAATCCTTCAGCCACTGCCATGCTCTTTTGCACTGGTGTTTGCCTGTGTGTCTGATTCTTCAGTACGTTCCCATCAAGCATTCAACATCACAACAGTTTGAAGCTGGTCTTTGTGAAGGTGCAGATTTCCTGACTGTGGTGTGTTTCTCAGTGTGGGAGGGGTAGCGAGGTTCCTTACAACCTCAATCTCCTCCACCTTCACTACGATAGTGACTCACAATGTGAGACAGGATGTGTTAAGTTCATGAGCAAAAAGTGCGTGCACGCAATAAGCAAGAAAAGATGACGTGTGTGCACGTATCTGAGTGGAAAACAGAGAGCGTGGGTTATATGCAGATGTGCATCTATGAGGAAGAGATCTGGTAATAGCTTGTGTGTGTGTGTGTGTGTCCACACCTTTGATATTTTCACCCTGTGTTCAGATATCTGCTGCCACGCACGCACACCTTCGTCCTCTGAGCTCTACTCCAGGATGATTACAGATTCATAATGGTTGTCCCATTCAGATTGGATTTATCTCTTTTAAGGCTGGGCATATGTGTAGTTAATTACATGTTGAGATACCTCCATTATTTCTTGCCTGTGTACTGACAATGTGGTGTAAAACACTCACCAGTTTCCAGTCAGGGTAGTTGACTTACTTTGGAGGTGGGACCCTGGAGGAGCAGCCGAGGATCACAGCTTGACTTCTGTGCATTTTCCCCATCAGTACCAACGCTTTATCGACAGCATGGACTGTGTCTGTCAGAACCTGCGAGGTAAGACGAGCCAACTTCAACATCTGTGCTCTTTTATCTTGGGGCAGTTTGAAGATGTGAGAATAGAACAGTCTGTGATCTTCAGCTCCGGGAACTAATGGCTCCTAAAGTCATGTTTTAACCCAGGTAACTGCACATCACATATTCTTACACTCCACTATTAGCTAGTTAAAACGGATGCGCTCTAATCCAACAGGCCTGTAATAAAGCCTACATTCAGTATCTTGTTCAGTTTTTGTTCAAACCCTTTTAGAAAGATGTCTGTGCTCACTGTAATGTTGTTGAATGGTATCGTCTTATACTGATAGGTGTTTTTAATATTTCAGCCACTCTAGGGCAGGCTAAATATTAGAAGAATACTTGTTTATGGCCTAAAAGATGCCCAAATGCTGATGTGATCCTACATGTGACAGCATTAATGCCAAAATCGCATTTGACCTTTTCATCTAGCTATCTATGGAAAAGTTTACTCAGTGAGGGGATAACTGTTAACCGGTCGGATAATAAATGTGCATATTATCAGAGAGACCGCACTTTACTGCACCAAACATCAGTCAGACTGGTCTACAGCGTTAGACTCACTGTTACAAAGGTCAGATGTGCTCATAGGTTAACCACTCTGTCAGCTAACAGCTGTGTTTCCACTGTGACAGTTGGCGACAGCAACAGACGAGAGACAAAAAAGAGGGAAAAATGACTCAGCGTGTGGTTTGTTAACAATGTTATGAACCGAGTAAAGAGAAGCCAGAGAGCACAGGGTTATTTGGCGTTGTTTTTCTGTTATTGCTTCCACTGTTGATGTGCAGAAATCCTCCAAGGCGTCACTCAGTATGAACATGTCTGTGAAGCTCTGTGCCAAAATAGAGCCACGGGACAGAAGAGAGTCTCAATCTCTTAAAGCTCCCCTCCAGACATGTATTAATACATACAACGCACTGCTAGGCCCTGCCCCTTAAAATCAGCTTTTCAATGAGCACAGAGAAAACTTCCACTTCAAGCAGATGAATGTAAAAAACATCCTTCTAGAGTCAAAACTCTGCACAGACAGGCATTCCATAACAGCGACGCTGTAGGACAAGAAGAAACAGATTCTGACTGGAGGGGAGCTTTAATTTTCTCCTCTAGAAAATATTTTAAGTTAGGTTTCCTTTTTCCATTGCCTTTTCCCTGCCAGGAATAAATCTGTTTGTGTAAATACTGGAGTGAAAGGGTTCCGCCCATTTCAGAATGGAACTGTGAATCTTTAATACATTTCTATTTATTATTTCAAGTTATTGATTTATTTGAATGTGATGCATTAAATACAAGGTGCCATTTATCAAATATAAACTGCACCTTAAAGGTCCAGTATGTAGCATTTAATTTATTTTGTTTAAAACCTATTGAGAAAGCCCCTTATAAAGTTGCAAAATACTAATACTAAAAACTGGTATCGTTTTCTGAGCTATGTGTCCTAAAAATACCGCATTGAACGTGTAGTGGAAGTGTAGTTTTACTAGCATCAACTTTCAATGATAATGATATATAATATAAATTTTTTTTTACTTTCAGTGTGCTATGGCTTTGTTTTAAAGTCAGGTGTGTAACGATTAGGAGGATCTATTTGTCAGAATGGAATATAAATATTCTATATGTACGATGACTTTATCATTAGTGAAATCACCTGAATATCAGGATGTTTGGTGTTTATATGTTACTCTTAGAATGAGTTGTTTATCATCCACCCCTGCGGAGCAGATGCAGTTTACCGTATGTAGAGGCCACCATGTTGAACCTCTACTATCAGCCAGAAAATGGGAACAAACCAAGCGATTTTCATGTGTTTATTGTGGCACTGTAAGTATCTTCTTTTGCCTTAAAGGTGCGGTGAAGCGGCGAGTTGTGATTCTCGAAACGGCACACCTCGTGTGCACCTAAACTGCGAC